TGGAAATAATTCACAAAGGGCTAATAAAAGGATTAGGAAAATATGTGCACATGTATTTTTTATCCAAGGGTATGATTAATTAACTTTTTAGAGTAAATCAAAGATACGGACAGATTATTGCTAATGAAGTATAAAATGTTATGCATGGTATTCGCATGCTTCAATGCGATTGTTACATTCACTTTCCGATTGGTATGTCATTCATTGGATTCATTTTTATGGGTATAGGGTATTATGACTAAACTGGACGTGTTTGCAACGAACGAATGGGAGACGTGACGGACGTGATGTTTACGACTGTGTGAATACAGCAGCCCTCCAAAGCATCAACATAATTTGCACTGGCAAAGGGCAAATGGACTAATAGCAAACTAAGCAATAAGCCTCACATAGGAGTCGTGCGTTTAGCCAGCGATTGTCACCGACAGCAACTGTCATAACCAAAGCTGCCAGCTGCCAGCTGCCAGCTGTGAGTTGTGAGTTGTGCGCCTCAACCACTTTGGCATTCATATGCATATTCCTGGCACCACAACCACTCAAAGTCACCCGAGTGCCCAGGCAACTACGTGACAATGTCAAGCCCCAAGGAGTGTCGCGCAAACTTTGGCGCCTCAAACTTGTCGCAAATATGTTGACTAGACGGCACACGGCAAAGGCGTGCATAGGTGCTTCTCTCTGAGCGCCGCGTGGTCGGGCTGCCTTTCGTAGTGTAAATATTTAAACAATAATAAGTTGGCGGAAAAACGCAGGAAAACTCTTGTGTTGTCGCGCGACAAAATAGCGAAAACTTTTGTTATCTTTTCACCATGAAAACGGCACAAAATGGGTGGAGCTGGGTGGAATGGTCGGAGGGCCTTGAACGTGCACTAATCGTGTTTGGGGGTAGGACAGGTAGAATAAGTATACGCCAAGTGTGACGCATATACAGTCTGTTTGTCTATGCTGCGATATATCGCATTTCATGTTTTCAATTAGCGTTAATGTCAGCGAGACGCTCAACTGAAATCGTATATGAAGCCAGGGGCGGTCGGTAACAAGTATTGATTACAATATTTAACTGGCAATTTTAATTGACTCGAACTCTAATCAATTTCAATGCATCGAGTACTTTTGCTTGGAATACATGAATTGTTCGAAGGTAAACTTTGTGCTTTATATTGAATTAAGTTTCAGAATTGAAATCAATATGTTTATAGTAGTTTCTATTTGTGTATTGTTAGCAGGTCTACAAATTAAATTTATTAATGTTCCAAGGCTTAATTGAGAGCTGGTCCCTTAGTTAATTGAGTAGTTTCTCTTGGTATCGGAGTAATATTCCTTTGTGCGCTACATAGTATGTAAATATTTTCCGTAAAAATAAAAAAGGGTTGGTATTTATGCTGTAGCTGCTGTATAAATATTGTCATAGACGACACACCCAAACTACGCGCGGCCCAACAAGTCATTTGCATAAATGTCAATTATACGCCGAGTGTACCACAAATGGTGTACCCTGTGCTGCCTAACTTGGCAACAAAAGTACACGAACATATTCGTGTATGCTTTTTTCTTTATTTCTACACCAAAGCCCTTTCCCCTCCCCTCTTCTTTCGCTGTACTACCTCTGCACCCAGAATCTGTTGGCAAAGTGGCACGGCATTGAGAATTTCGCTACTCGATTTGCGTTTTACTTCAAAATTGAATTTCAGCACTGATTATGTATATGTATTTTTCGGTTCTCGGCTCCCGTGGGGTGTTCACCGTACGGTTAGCTTGCTGTTCGTACTCGTTTGCGCTTTCTCTGTCTATCCTTCAGTTGCTTGCCTGGGGTGCATAAATAAGCAGCACTCAATTATTCGTGTTGTGGCTGAAGCTATATTCGTAATCCTTTATCCTTATACCTGCGACGTGCTGATTTGATTTGCTTTGCAATTTATTGTTAAAACATGCCAGCAAACAAACACATGCTGACTCTCCGTCTGTCTCAATCTCACTGTCTGCCTCTCTCTATACCTGTCACCTATGCTTAAGCGTAGATTCGCATAAGTCATCTATATAATATTGGTCTGATAAACGCCTTATAGGCTATATGTTTATGCTAATGTTCGGCAAAATCAATTTTAGATTTGCTGCGCCACTTATTCAGCATTCGGATTAAATTTCAAAAAGCGTCTGTTGCGATACTTATTGCTGTACATGTAAATTGAGCACAAAATAAACTCAAATGTTTGCTGTTGTTGTCTTTTGGCTCGAATTTCAAACCTTCGGCCTCCCACTGCCACTGGCTGGCGCAAAACATCCGTCCACATTGAAATTTTTCATTTGAAGTAAAGCGACGCTGAGAATTTGTCTGCATTTCGTTTGACTGAGAGCATTTAATTGTGGTCCATTTCAATTTTATTTGCAAAATACCCTTGAGGTTTCTGGTGTAACATTTAATTACGAATTTTTGTGAAACAAGTTTCACTCTAAGCCTTCTGACATTCGAGATTTTTCTTGTTTTTGCTTTTACCCTTTCGGCCCATTTCAAATGATCAGCTCATTAAGAAGGGAAATATCAAACATTGTTTAAATACTTCAAGACCGTTTAATATCCTATATGACATGCACGTGTTGATGTTGTGTGTATTAATTATATTCCATCCATACAGAAAGTTGCACAAAAATAAATATAAATTAGCAACTTTTATTTCACTTCAAAAGTAATTATAAAAAATATAAAAATACCGTAAAAACTTAATACAAAATATGCCATGAGCAACAATTATCGAAAATACAATATATGATAAAAAACAAAGTCAATTTTTCATCCACATTTAAATTGATGAGAAAAATGTCAACAACAGGTTTCCAGAGTTAATCGAAAAGCGAAAATAAAAACGAATCCGAATGTTTTTCCATCGAACCAACTGAAGCATAAAGTACCAGGTGCGAATCCAAGGCTACGGCTTGCACATTTTAAATTATTTACAGAAACCATAATAGTTGACATAAATATACCAAGTTTGTATATATCGTATAACCAATCTCCATTAGCTAAAACGAATTCTAATATTGCCATATGAGGTCCTATTATACCATTATATAGAAACAAATATTCCCGAACAGTGCGAAAATATTGAAAGTTAATGTAGTTTATGTAGATTGAAGAATAATGCTCTGGTAAATATGTGGTTCGGTAAAAAAAAACATTTAAATAAAGGCATTTTCTCATCTCAGATCGGCTACCAACATTGCCTTAAATCGTAAAAAATGCGTTTACTATCTTCCTTTTCTCTTCATTAACTGTATGATAAGAATGTTGCCAAAATATGGCAAGTGGGAAAAAACGGTGGCCAAAGTTTGTGTTAAAAACATCAAAAACAACGTCAACCTCTGGGGCTTAGCTGTCTGAGAGCTGAACTTACAAGCGATAAGTCAAAAGTGGAAATAGCATTAATTTTTATAATTATTTTGTTTATTGAGCAGTAATAAGTTTCTAAGCTAGCGTTTAATGTGATTGGGCCGCTCGCTTTAAAGAACCGGGGTAAGATCTTAATGGACAAGACAGTTGGGAGTATGGCTAATGCGCGGCGGTCATTAGACCGATTTTATTAATATTTGAAGATGGCACGAATTACACAAAAAATTTCAGTATTACTTGTATTTTCCATTCGCCAGCGGGTAATATATACTATATTAAATACTCGATGGAAATGGTTCAGAGGACGAGACATTTTTTGATGTGTCTTATTAAAATGCAGTTTCATATGAATATCTTGTTATGTCTGCGTCTCTTTAAGCTAATTATATATGAATATATTTTACACATATATTCTTATTTACTCGTGAATTTTCCCCATACATACTCCATATTGTTGTTTGTTAACCAAATGTCAATTAAGTGGGCCACTCTGGTCAGCTGTATTCCCTCCCAATTGGTTTCCCAGCCCTGTACCTGGCATACGCATATGTACGACGCGTCCTGGCTTTCGCTGATCGCCGCATTTAAATAGCATCATTGCCTGCGGGATATGTTGGTCAACTTTGCTGATTCTCTGACAGACAATCAGCCCAGTGACAATTGCACTTCTGACAATTAACAGCCTGGCGTCTGTAAACCTTATTAATAAGCCTGAAAATTCAATATTATAATGCATACCACACATACCAGCACACTCGTACAAGGCAACTGCTCACAATATTGTGTATTGCATATTGCGTATGGCTAAGTGCACCGCAGGTTGCAATATAATAAAATGTAAGCCGAGAAACCTTTATGGTTTAAAGCAACAAAAATTAAATACCCTTGTAGACACAGGGCTTACTACTTTGCAGATATGCGAGGCGAATTGTGGAGCTGGTCAAAATATCTGGAAAACCCGATAATTTTTCCATGCAAAACTCGAATCCCGATTTTGCCTCAGATTATACGATATGGAGTGAACCATAAAAATTAAAAAATTGTTCAAAGAAGAACTTATCTTTTGACCGATTATTCCTAAAGCAGCTCTAACATATTAACTGCCTGACGGACTCGGCTTTAAATAATAATCAATAACCGAATATATATGTGCTTTTTGTGTCTCCTTAGTGTTATATTTTTTTGTTATATATATTTCCTGACAAAATCTTAATAAATTCTATAAGGGTATACAAATGTAGAATCGATCTGATGCCATGTACATTTGTAACAAGCAAGTAGTGCAAAAAATTCTTTCACGTTTAATTGGAAGATACTGAATTAAATTACACAGCGGCTTTTTATTTTCTGGTAAAATTCAATGAAACCCATACTAAAGTCTGGAGAAGTAATTCACAGGTGAGTCACGAAGCTCTATCGGTAGACTTCTGTGCATTTAACTACAAATCTTTAAATCATTGATTTTTCCAAGCAATTAACTACTAATTCAAAACTAATTTTAGTAATCAAAAATTACCAATCCTAAGTTTTAAGATGCGGGCAATATTTATTTAAAATGAAAAGGCACCAGCTAGCTTAAAATAAGTATTTATTTTGAATTTGTATTTGTATGTAATTATTTTTATTGTTCATAAATGGAAAAAATGTATTTGAACATTGATAATTGTTTTTCAAATGCCTTAAAATATTTGATAGAGCTCTTTATTCAATTGAACGCTCAAAGCATAGCTGAGCTTTTAAAATCTTTTGTTTCCGTTTCCGTTCCGTTCATTATATGTTTGTTCCACATTGTATGTCGATTTTCTTCTGCATACGTTGAGGGGAGGTGCGGCACAGGCTAAAAGTGGGAAATGCGATGGACATAAATTGAATGCGGTCTCATTGAATGGTCGCTCGATTGGTCGTCCATTGGTTAACCCAAATGGCAGCAAATTAGAGCTGAAGTGTTTTGCGCTTGTTCTAATTCTTCGCCTCGCTGCCTGTTGAAAAATCGAAGTCGCTTTCACTGCCGGCTCCAGATGCGCCGGTCGCTGCTCCCGCGGGTACACCAATGTTCGGGGTGGCTGTGGGCGCGGTTGGTTCCTGGGCTGGTTTCGCGCTTGAGCTATCATCCGTTTCGCTGCTGTCAACGAAATTAACGCGCTTCTTCTTCTTTTGCTGCTGCTGCTGCTGCTGATGCGCATCATTAGGCGTCGCTTGTTTGTCTGTCGACGCAAGTATCGATGTGGGCCTGACGGGCGTGGCGGTGGTGTCGGTCGCCACTGGTGAGTGAGTGGCTTCAGTTTTTGCATCAGCCCCTCCAGATGACGGGGCTTGCTCCACTTCCTGTGGCAAAACCAGCTCGGCCGCTGCGCTGTTGTTGTCAGACATCGGATAGGCGGCTTCCTGTTGTACCTCTTGCTGCGGCTGTTGTTGCAGCTGCTGCTGCTGCTGCTGCTCGGCATAGTAGTCATAATTTGCTGCTGCGACATCATAGTCCTGGCCCGCGTAGCTGCCATCCGGGGCATACTGCTCGGCATTGGGATCGGCTATGTACTGGCCGGTTGCCTCATCGTATATGTAGCCCGGATAGGCATTGGGATCATAGCCGGCAGCATATTGGGCGGCATCGTAGTTGCTATAATCCATATTGGAGTACTCCTGTTGTGCTGCGGCTGCTGCAGCCTCAGCTTCGGCATCGTTTGCTGCATTTGCATCCGCTACATATTGCTGATAGTCTGCGGGATTTCCGATTTCACTGTACAGCGGCTCGCCTGTGACGCTTGCCGGCTGCGGCAGCTGTTGCTGTTGGCTGGTCTCAATGCTGGCATAGCTGGGCTCACCTGGGTCCACATAGCTATTGTCATCGTACTGCCCGAAATCGATCTGAGCCCCATCATGTGTTGGTCGCTGCTGTTGCTGCTGCTCCTGCAACTGTTCTACCTCTACAGCACTCATCTGTTCGCCCTCACCTTGATTCTGCTGCTGCTGCTGCTGCGACTGCTGCGACTGCGATGCGTTGGTTGCCAAATTCTCAAATAATCCCTGCTTTGGTGCTGGTGCTGCTGCCACTGCTGTTGCTGCTGCTGCCGCCTCTGCAGCTGCTCTGGCTGATATCGCAGTGGTTGTTCCTGTCAAACGTTCGCCGTAAATGGCATTTTCAATATTCTCAATCGACACTCTGGGCTTAGCGAATGGCTCATTGGTTGCCAGTGGCGACAATTGATTACCTCGTGCTAGCTGCTCATCAACCGCAGCCGCTGCCTGCTCCAGAGCTGCACGACTGGCTTTGACCTCGTCAAGCAAATCGTTGCTGATGCCACCAACGAGGCCGCCAATGGCGCCACCGCCTCCAACTGTTTTCATTTCGCTGGGACGCACGCTTAGCTCCATTTTGTCTTCAAACTGGTCCATTGGCCGTGCCATTGTTGCTGTTGGCGCTGTTGTTGGTTGCCAGGGCTCATCGATTTTCAGCTCGCCAAAGTATGCGTCCAAATCGTGCTGCCTTTGCTCCTGATATTGCTGCTGTGGCTGCCGGCGTGGCTCATTATAGCCAGCGACACTTGGCGATATTTCATGCTCGCCTCTAGTCACGCGTGAATTTGGCCAGGCTTCCTGCTCCAGTCCTTGCTGGCCTTCCCTGCGCAACTGCGCTGCCTCTTGCGGTCGGTCGCCGACGTCATCGACGCCAGCGACAGCGACAGCTGCAGCCGGCAGCTCAGTCAACGCTGCCGTCTTTGGCAATTTATCAAATGTCAACGAGGATGTTGCCAATGTTGAGGATGTGCTACTCAGCTCCCGTGCACTCATGTCTTTCGGTGAGCATGCTGTTGACATCGTCGTTGTCGTCGTGGCTGTTGTTTCTGTTGGCGCTGCCTTTTCAGCGTTGCCATATTGAGATTCACCCGCTGACAGAGCAGCCACATCAAAGTGCGTCATGCGCTCCGGCAAATCAGCATTTTCATTGTCCAGGGCGCGCAATGTGGCACGCAGGTCGAACAGATTGGAGGTGCCAAGCGCCTGTCCGCCGCTCACACCAGCCCCAGCACCAGCCCCGCCGTACAGATCTGGGTAGGGCATATAAATGGGCTGACGCATTGCTTGTGCAGCTAATAACATACCAGTATGCGTGGGTGTGGGCGTGGCCATGGCAAAAGCCCATTGCTGTGGCGATGCAGCCGTCAATGGAATAAGCAGAGGTTGATTTTGATTTTGATTAGGAGCTGCTGCTGGAGCAGAAGCATCAGCTGCAGCTGCCGTTGCTGCTGAGACTGTTGGATCCGACACTGCCGCTGCTTGTGGCTGTATTAGGACAGGAATTGACAAAGGAGTGCCTCCTGTTGTTTGTTGTATACAGCGCAACGTTTGGTTCTGAACCAATTTTGCAAAGTACATTTGGTATTGCAGCTGCAAGTCGAAATGGCCAAGAGCAAGACAAAGCCAAACACATGGACATAAATTAAAGTAGCGGGAGACTGACAATTGACTGCTGCAGTGACTCACCTTCATCATTTTGAGTCGTTCGCTGCGCTGCGACATGGCAGCAGTCTGTTCATCGATACGTTCCAGCATCTGCACCAGCTTTTTGTTTCGCTCGTTGCGCTTGCTCTGCTCCTCCAAAAATTCCTGGTACTTCTGACGTGATTTCTGTCGCACGCACTTCTCGCTAAAGCAGCCCAGTGGGCGATATCAATATTGGCACAATGCATAGCTCGAAATCTACTTACAGTTCGCTGCGTTTCTGTAGTACTTTGTCCAGTTTATGCTCCAGCTGCTGGCGATTGTCCTCGCTGCGAAAAGGAAACATTGGATAAAAATTCCATTAAATAAGAAGCGTCTCGTATCTATCTCTGATTTTGTACTATACATCAACAATTAAACTTTCATTCGAAATATCGATAACTTTTCCTGTTTCTATGAAAACGAACAAAGAATATGCCACAGAGCTAAAGCAAGAAAATCAACTTATTTATCGTTGTACAGGGTATTTCCCAGTCTGACTTTAAAGAAAAGAAAATTGGCAAAATTTAAGCTCATAAATTTTCCTATCGGTCGGATAGAAAGTATATGAGCTCTTCAAGAAACTTTTTCAAATATTACGAAGCAAAGACAATCGGTAAATAAAGTTAAGCAAAGCGAGGGGATATGCCTCTTCACTTATGTATTTGTACAAAGTCGAGAGCCCTCGCTTTGGAGAATTCTCGCTAATAATAATTCAATGATAATTATTTAATAATTTCACAGACCTGCGACGAAGTTTCTCCTGAAGCAGTTCCACCTGCAGCTTGTAGTTTTCCAGCTCGGCCTGTGGAAACATCTCGTTCTGAAATATAGACTCGTCGTCCTCGTTCTCGCCGTCCAACTGCCACTGTTAAGCTGCACTCCACTGTTGACACAGTTTGCGTGGCACCGAGCGCAATAAATGCGGCATTGAGAGTTATTTTTAAAGCAACTTTATTTGAATAGCAGAATAAAACGAGTTTGTGTCCACGTGTGTGCTCATTGTGTGTGCGTGAACCTTTTTATACTCTTTTAGAGAGTATTATAATTTTTTCATGAATTGTGTAAAGGAAACATCTCCGTCTCTTATGATGAAGCCTTTCGTAGGAATAAGAGATCCAAACAAGTTGGAAGATATCTCAAGGAAACTTTGGCATATACGGATAATACTCGAAACTAGTCAAAATCGGAGTACTATATTTATAGCTGAGTGGAAAGAATCGGTAGAAAAATTAGTTTAGGTATGGACATCCTTGAAGATGCAAGCTCTTACGAGCTTAACAATTCTCCTCACATATTTGCTTAGCAGCAAGCCACACAGAGTATTTAATCGTCGGCGTGCCGGAAATTGACTTTCTTTCTTGTTTAATGTATGTTTGGCATTTGTTTATTGAGTCGCGTTGTCATGACTACCTCATTTCTTAGCTATGTTTTTTTGGTGGTTGATTGGCATTGGCCTGGGCGACAGGCGACTGGCGACCGGCGACAAGACTGCGGAGTGACCTGCCCTTATTGATTTTACTTTGGCCCTTTTTGGCTTTTGCCGCACAATGTAGCAAGTAATGAGAACGGCAAACGAACTTTCGATTTTGCGCTGCAGAAATTGCCCATGCTCCTGAATAACCACCACAATGGGCTGTGCATTAATTACACTTTCAGCAAGTAGGTCAGTTTTGGGTGAGCATTTTTTAAACTCTTGCCACGCCCCACCACGAAGTACTGAGAATCGTTGGGGCTAGCCAGCGCATTTGTCATGCATTGCACGAGATTTGCCTGCACGAGCGACCGCAGCTTCTGCAGTATCATATACCCCCGCAATCCACTCTTTAGGGTGGGCGAAAACACATGTTGTTCCCACACACACACACACACACACAAGCTCACTCGCACTAAAGTTGGGCAGCCAAGCGTGCGGCACCTGAACGTGAATTAATGGTAGCGTCTATCACTTGCCGGCCGCAGACAACAACGCACTGACATATTCACACAGTCACCATCATGGCCAGAGCCGCGACATCATCAGTCGGTGAACACGGACACCGCCGCCTGCTCCTATTACCCCACTCCGCAATGGGTTGGCTTGGTTTTCGCCTGGCATATGCTGTCGTCGTCACGGTGTCGTGGTTGCGGCTCGCAATATAAAATTTTTGGGCAAACTGAAGCAGGCAGCATGGGTACGGCTGGTTATGTACGGATATGCAGAGTATAGGGTTATGTTTCTGCCTTTCTGGCTGTGTGTCTCACACATATACCAGGGAATAGCCTTTAAGGGTAGTATGTACTCACAGCATCAACATGATTAACTATAACGACCCTCAATTAAATAAACAAATGTATTGAATTTAATACATGTATATTGTTATACCCTTTCAGAATAGTATACAACTGTCATAGAAACGATTGGTAAATATTACTTCGCAGTTCAGCGCTTCTAACATACAATTACATACCTGCAAAATTTGACCAACATCGGATTATTAAAATAAGAGTGTTTTAATCTTTGGCGTGTTGAAGATAAATAACCATTATTATTGTTGTTTTTTTTCTTTATATTTAAATATTTGTTTAAGTTTGTAGCTGTAAAATTGTTAGCTTGCAATTGTTATCTAAACTATTTTCTATTCCTTTCTAAAACGTGTAGTTTTCCTTTTGTCAATACTTAATATTTGAGAGCACAATTTGATTGGCCAATGAACTATATTTTTTGTAACATAATTCTCCAACCAAATATAGTTGTTGCTTAGCAACAAGAGCTAATGAACCGCCATATGATATCAATGCGAAAAATATTAACATGTATTTGAGGGAAAAATGCTAGTGACATGCAATCGTCGACAAAATCGACAGCCACTGATAGAGACACGAGTGCGGAAAGCGAGTGACTGATTGACATTTAGTCTATTAAATTTATTTGCATAAAATATTTTGGGCCTGAAGCTTAATATTTATTTGAAATTTGGCCAGCAATCGTTAGCAGAGGTCTTAGTACAATTCACTGAATTAACCCAGCATTAAGTCCAACTGGATTCTATAGTTACACAGTTTCCGGTTGTATATGTCACTATTTGGTGCTAGCCAAAAATTTGCATGGAAACTTTTGTGGGATTCTAAAGGAAAATTGAATATTTGGCCAAAGCTAATTTATGTGTATGGCTTTATGCTGCAAATGCCAGACTTTGTGAGTCTATGGTGTGTGTGTGTGTGTGTGTGTATGTATGAATGCCTGTGTGTATATTCTGCTTATCAGTCGCTGCACAGCATACTTTTTGGCGCATTTAATTTCAGCAGAAGAGGCGAACTCTGCGCCTTTTTCCGATTTGCAGTCAATGAAGCAGAAAACTGAAAACTTTTTCTTTGCAGTCTATTAAAAATAATGGCCGCTGACAGCGAAGCCACTCGCCAAGTGCGAAAGACGCCACATGCAGTCCCCATGTGTATGGCTGTATGTGTGTGTGTGTGTTTCTCAGTGTGTGCGCAAGACAGTAGCTGGCATTAAATTAATATATATGTGTATACTTTGGGTAATTTCTCATATCGCTCCATTCATAGACGCTGCCGTTGCAATGACCATTTGCGGTTGCCTTTTAATGCCCCTATCTGAACTCTAGGGCAATTGTGCCTCTTTGGGCCAAAGCACTAGAAATTAATTGAATTTCTATAGTGAAATATATATAATATTTCAATATATCAAATGACAGAATTTACGATTCAGTGCTTAGAGTAGTATTATGTATACATAAGTGATATTTGGCATAAATAGGGCAATGGGTCATCTTAATAAATTTGAAAATTTATGCCAATTTAAATTTAGCCTAAGTCACAATTATGGAAATACTTAGAAATGGATACATATATTACATTAATTTTTAATATCTACAACGGAAGGTGATCCTTTCACGCTTTGGCAGCAAAGTGCAAGTCGGAAGGTGTTCTGAAAAACGGCTTTCAGCTTTCTGGCCGAAAATGATGAAGAAATGTCCGCTAGTTGCATAATAAGGGGATTTGTAGAGCAGAACAAAAATTTAAAGCTCTGGAAATTATTATGGAAGCTATTGCTAATGTTTTTTAAAATGAAAATAAAAAAGTTACTGAGAACTTTTATACTTTCACCCATTTATTTTTTTCAACTATGTTAAGTACTGCTTACTCAAATAGTAAAAAATTTGTTTATATATTAATATGACGAAATATTCTATAGTATAATTTAAAATCAATTCAATTTGAGAAATTTAAACTCGCAGAATCGTCAAACCTTAAACGGAATTCAGTAAGGGCAATTAACTTACATAAATCCTTATGAATCTAAAGTAACATTTTCTTATCCAATAGTAGGGCATTCAAAAGTCTCACACACGTAGTTTTCTTATCTGTACTTACTTTTTGCCCTGCCGCTGCTGGCACAGTAAAAAAATTACCGACGAGCAACGCGCAGCAGAGAGCAGGTTTTGTGGTTAATGCGATAATTTAATTGTAATGCGGGTCTGGCGTCTTGGGTGCCAATAATTTAAGTTGCAATCAGCACGGCATTTATTGGGTTAAACGTACAAGAGAGCAGGGCAAACGAGGGTTGTTAAGAGAAGGAAGAAGATTTCACAGACGCAGACTTACATGCTAGTTGGCTAGCCAAGAAGTGAATGAACCCAAAGGAAAAGCCGCAAAGGATACAGAACAAGAGCTGGAAAATAAATTCAGGGACTGCTCCTGCTGCTGCCGTTGTCCTATAAAGGCGCCAGTACGAGTTTCGCATTTTTGCACGTAAGCGCAGGGCAAGAGGACAAAGAGAGCAAATGCGTAGCATACTTACTGGCGCTTGGCCAAGCAGAAGGAGACAAAGAGACTTTGAACGGGAGAGAGTGTTGCATTACTTTTGGCCAACGAACGAACAGTAGCCATGACAACGTCAAATATTTGATATCGATAAACCAGTCAAGTAGCTGTGCCTCGGCTTGCAGCCAGTTCTAATGGAAGCCTCGCTGGTGACTGCATTGACTGAAGAGGAGCAAGCGGAATGGCAACGCTTGATGCTGGCTGTCACCTACAAGACGGCCATTGATAAGCTTATGCTGTTGCAGCGCTGGCACCGTTTGAATATGCAAAAGCCGCCGTTGCCGCGCAAAAACCGCAGACGCAGCTCCTCTATTGGGCAGCCGGCGATGTCTGGGCGAGTTCTGCTCACTGGCAAAAGGCTGCCCAGGTTGGAGTCGCTGCTAGGCGACACGGATCAGGAGGCCGACACGGTGGACGAGTGTGTGCTAAATGCCCTGAAATATGAAAATGATATAGATGCATTGCGCGCATTTTTTAAGGCCGCCAACCAACAGCTCTACATGACCAAAGAGGAGCTAGAAACTGAAAATCCAAGTCGCCTGGAGCTCGCCATTGGCGCACTAAGCGGAAGTAATAGCGAAGAATCTGTGGCACTCAATCAGCTACAGCAATCCAAGGACGAGATAAAGCTACTGCTAGCGCAACTGGAGCAGCTTCAGATTGATGGTGTGGCCAAGCTGAGGGAGTTGGAGGAGCGCACTGCCGATGCCAAGTACAATTTAAAGTGTGTATCGCGCGTAAACGACCTGGAGTACAGCCTGGTGGAGCGCTGGGAGACGGCACGCGTGACTCAGGCAAAGATTTGGGGCGAAAATGCCGAGCGGGCTTATTTGCGCGACATACTCGACTACAAGCAGCGACTGAAACATGAGGAGCGCGTCAGCCAGGAGCTCGCCGCCTTTCGCACTCGCGAGCTGGCCGACCTGAAGGAAAAGATTGCATATTGGCAGCAGCGCTACATCAGCGAGCTGCGTCGCGTCGAACGTGAATCTGAGGCATGGGAGCTGCGCATTCTGGAGCAGAGCAAATCTCTAGCGCATCACCGCGAGCTGAACGCGCAGCATTTGCAGTTTGTGCGCGAGTATTCCGCGAAGAAGGAGGAGGAGCAGCGCCTGCTTCAACTACAGGTGCATCGCATGGAGTGCGCTGTCAAATTGCAGGCCTGGTGGCGCGGCACAATGGTGCGACGCGGCCTGGGACCCTTTAAGAAAAAGCCAAAGCGCGGCAGGCGGCCAAAACCCAAAAAGTAAACGAATAAAATGCA